CTCTTAAAAACACCCTGTGTAAGTGAGTCTGTTATTTCAGAAGGTAAATGATTGTAAATTTTAATAGCCAGACAATTCGGCGATTTGCGAGAAATGTTATATTTACAAAAGGGTAAACGGAATTTATTGCAATTCCTTGTGTTGTAATGGTGGATTTCAGAATTTAAAGAGAACTTCTGCTTATTCATGAAAACATAAACAGCAGACTCAACAATAAAAAGACTGCACAAAGTTAAAATTTTATATTTTTTAAAAACATCTCTACATGAATCCAGGAAATGTATATTTGCAATCAACCTCAGAATACGCTTCTGAACAACAAAAACATCACTTGACAAAGTGGACGTACCCCAAAATAAAATTCCATATCTCAATCTCGACTCCACCTGTGCATAATATAAACTAATTAACTGATGGCTGGTAAGTACCATTTTAAGTCTCCTGAACATATAACTAACTGAATTTAATTTAGCAATTAAGTTGAAACAATGTTCTTTCCAATTCAAATTTTCATCAATCGTAACACCCAGAAACTTTATATTTCTTGAATTAGAAGAAATTATAGAGTCTTTTAAAATAACATCAATTTTCGGGCAGTTATTTTGCCTATTATGAAATCTAATGGCCTTTGTTTTAGAGCTGTTTAAGAAAAGACAGTGAGTTTCAAACCAAGCCAACAATTCGTTCAGGGAGCTCTGACACATTATATTTAAATTTTCAGAACATGGAGATGAAAACAGAAACGCTGTGTCGTCAGCATAACGAACAACAGAGGCAACAGGTGAAGCCGAGTCAATGTCGTTACTATAAAAAAGAAAAAGGATAGGCCCCAGCACAGATCCCTGTGGAACTCCCATGTTATTAATTAAAATATTAGAATCAATATTATCTTTTTTTATATCATCAATATGATTAACACAAACATACTGAGGTCTATTACTCAAGAAAGATTGCACCCAATCAAGTGCGACGCCTCTAATACCATATGCCAATAGCTTGTTAATTAAAATATTATGCTGAACACAGTCGAACGCCCGACTAATATCACAAAAGATACCAACGGGACCCTCGCCAGATTCAACACAATCAATGATAGTTTCCAAAAGTGACAAGATAGCGGTATTTGTAGATTTACCACAGATAAATCCATGCTGACTAGGGGAAAATAAAGTTTGCTTATTGACAAAGGGTAACAGTCTATGCAAGAACGCATACTCAAAGGATTTAGAGAAACATGACGTTATGGTTATTGGCCTATAATTTTGAACAAATTGGGGATCGTTTTTCTTAAAAATGGGAACTACTTTACCCAATTTTAATCTTTCTGGAAATACACCAGTGCTAAAAGATAAATTAATTAGATATGTTAACGGCTGGATTATCACCGGTAATGCCTTTTTCATAATAAACATTGGCACTTCATCATATCCAGCTGATCGCTTATTTTTCAGTTTAAGCGTTAGAAGATTCAATAATTCATCCTCTGAAAATGGAATTAGAAATATAGAATAACTATTATATGTCGGATACAAGACCTTTCCTTGTTTCTTTGTGATTCTATTAATTATATTTTTAGGCTCATTAATAAAATAATCATTAAACACTTCAGCCACTAAATGAGGATTCTCAACTAATATTTTATTTTCTAAAAGACATGTTAGTTAGTTAGTTGGGGCATGTAGCCCGTAGAGCAGTTGTTTCCCGCGATATCAGCAGTTAAGAGTCTACTTAGATTTCTGATATCAAAGAACATTGTTCGACTTCATTTGATAAAATTATTATTTCTTTTTTTCATTTTAATTTTAATTTTAAAGTAGACTGCTTTAAATTATGGTAATAATTATCACCATGGCAGGATTTCAAATAAAAAGAATCAAATATATAGGATTAAATTCTTAAAAATTTCTTAAAATTAAATAAAAAATGGGCTTTTTTGTTTTAACAAGAGTGACAGATGCTTAATAGAGAAGAAATATACTTCCGAGAAACATGTTTCATTAAAATGTATTTTTGTAAACAAAAAACAACTTTTTATATTCAGCAGGTACCGTGAATTAATTATGTATTAAATTAGTATTAGTATATTGCATTATCTTAAATTATGAGATTTACTTTATGTGATCATATTACCTGCATTACTAAATATTACGTAAAATTCAGGGTAAATGTGCAATACTGGTACATATTTTTTTATAGCGGATGACCCCACAGATATAGCCCTAAAAATATGGATCCAAGAAACAATATTTACAGACCTATATCTCAATCGGTATTTACTTTATAATAGATTGATAGAAATTGTAAAAAAGATTAACAAAGCCAAAATGTAACATAGTGATAAAGTTTAATTAGATTGGAAATTGAAATACCTCAAAATACTCAACTCTCCATAATTGATAACTGAAAAATAAAACCAGAATCAAAATTGTGCCATGACATTAGCTTCTGAATAATCCTAATACTTTATTATTGTCATCTTTCAGTAGTTAACAAATAAAAATTTTTCAAATTCATAATAAACTATAATAATTAAAGAAAGTGTGCACAGGATTTAAAAAAGTAACTACTAACCCCGCTACTGACTTACCTAAACCTATTACAATAAAAAACACAGTGAAAAGATGTTGATATACAAAAGAGAAATATTAATGTTGCTCCATAAACAACAGCAGAGAGCAATTGGTCATTGTCTTTGGATCGGCTGACTAATTCGAGGGTTTCTATAAAACTTGGAATAATCCAAATACCATGAGTTATAATGTTTGCTACATGTTCTATAGTTGTTGGTCTGTAGGCTTCTTTGGGCATTGCTTTTTTGTTCATCCATTTTATACTAAAATGAAATGGGATGCAACTTGTGTATTAATTTATTTTGATATTTATCTTTAGAACAAAAAATAAGGAAAGAGTAATATACAGAGTGAATCATATATAGAAAACATAAGGAGTTAACTCTATTTAAAAATGAAACAGATCTTTTTCCTTTGGATTATGAATCCTTATCCTTATCCAATTTGTAAAATACTTAGTGACATCGAAATCATGTGGTTTTTAATGAAGTATATCTTAACATCTCTCACTGGCTGAAATATAGTTCTGTACCAAGTCAGTGATTTTTTTTAAATTTAATTAACCATGTCACTAGTTCAAGTTTTGTTAACCTACATAAAAAATCTTTCGAAATATTTGTGTATAAGGCGTTTAATGTTGCATATTGTGTGTTGTCAAAAATAAAATTAGTTTAATTAATAACTTCATAACTCTTTTACCGATCACGTTAAAATTTGCCACATTTATTTGAACTATTATGGCGTATTATTTCTTAAAGCTTCAGTCAAATCGATATACTGGGTGAGAGTTTTCTCCAGTTACCTCTCCCTTTTAGCGGTCAAAACTTTTACAGTGGTCGTATTTTTTTTAAAACTGGCAACATTGAAAAGGTCGTTTCATTTAAAAGAAATATTGTCTCTTGAGAAAATCGCCTACAGAAAGCCATTCTTCAGAAAAATGGCATTATTTGCAGGTCTGTGCGTTTTGGTTTGTATAGCAGTGTCACAGATTTAAAATTTTGAGTTCAGTAGGCGATGAAAACAAGCTGTTGGTTGCTGTGGCTATCAGGTAATGTCATTAATGTCGTGTTTCTATAGAATTCTCATCACTCCACACATGCAAATTATGGTGTCCACAGTGTATCAAGACAATTAAATGCAGGTAAAACTAGTGTTTAAAAACTTTAAAAAAGCAACTTCTTCGGACATTTCATGTAATTCCTGCTCAAGAACTTGAAAATTTAGATCCCAACGCATGTTTACAATTTTGCCAATGGCTTCACAGAAGATAATAATTTGCCTCAAAAATAGTTTTGTACCGACAAATCTTGTTTTATAAGAAACCGAGTTATAAATTTTCATAATTTGCATATGATGTGGTGATGAGTATCCTAAAGAAATATGACCATAATGACATTACCTGATAGCCACAGCAATCAACAGCTTATTTTTTTAATCACCTACTAAACTCAAAGTTTTAAATCCGTGACATTGCTACGCAAACCGACACATATAGACCTGCAAATAACGCCATTTTTCTGAAGAGTGGCTTTCTGCAGGCGATTTTCTCAAGACAATATTTTTTTTTTAAATAAAACGACCTTTCAATGTTGCTGCCCATTTTAAAAAAATATGACCACTGTAAAAGTTTTAATGGCTAAAAGGGAGAGGTAACCAGAGAAAACTATCACCCAGTATATCGATTTGACTAAAGCTTAGGGTGGATTTGCGGATCTATGTTTATATGAAATTTTTGTCTTATTTTTAGTCGACAAATCTACCACTATTAGTAGTATTATTTAAGTACCACTATTTCCGAACACCTTGTATAAATGCTAACTGATTTTTCTTGTCTACCATAAAATTTTAGAGCAGCAAATATTACAGGTCCCTATTATTAACATATTTATTTATTTTAAAACAAGCACTAAATTAGATTTTCATTTAAAAATATAAATTTCAATCTATTGGGATACAAATAAATACCTACTTAAATTAATATTGTGATTAAGTTACAAACAAATGACTAGGGTTTGCTTGCTGAACAGCAGTCATGGCTCTGGTCTCTTATGAGACATGCTATTAACATTTGTTGGTATGAATTAAGTACCTATTTATTTTTGTAGTTAGGAAACTGATTGTAAATTACAACTTAATAAACAAATGTTTATTATGTACTTTCCAATATATTATTCATTTATTTCTTGCATATTTTATTTACAAATTTAAGTACTATGCCGACAGTTGTGACATGGTCGATAATTAGGACGCCTACATATTACAATATTTTTCAAAAAAATGTACCATCTTGCATCTTGAAAATGAAGTGTCTGCAAACATATGTTCTTATATTATGTTTCATCTTAGGTACTTAGTCTAAGACTTAACCACTTAATTTTTTTCAGTTCATCTATGATTCACCCTGTCAAAATTATTCCCCGATTATTACTAAAATCAGAAAGAAAATGTATCTACCTACATATTTATAAAGACTATCTTAATTACATAAAATATAAACCAAAAGAAATATAATTTATATAAACCAAACTATTTAAGAATAAACAAACAAAATTAAACAACAAAATATTAATATACTTAAGTATAGGAAAGACTAGTTATTTTATATTTAATATTCTAATATATTTTATAATATTTTAATAATATTCTCTATTTACTATCTGAAGCATTATTTTTAAAAAATTGCTGCAATAATATGTACAAACACAAATCAAAACATTTTTTTGACAGTGCAAAAAACAACTCCATGAAACGTGTAGGTACCTAAATAATTGTATGTTTTAATGAGAAAGTTTATTTTTATACTCACCACTTTAAATTCTGAAAACTGGTATATTTATTGATGCCACTAAGATATTGCTTAAATGTACTACTTATCATACCTAAAGAACAAAATATTTTATTAGTCCTTAGCCTATTTAAAAATAATTAGTGTTTTTAACTTTTAAATATAAATATGAAAAATGTATTAAACTGACCAATTTAAAGGATAAACAAAAACGTACACCCAAGACCGCCGTACTTTTCTGTCACTTTGACAATAACAACATAGTATTTGGCATTTGACAATTAAAATATCAATATTAACCATACATACCAACCTTTTAACACAAAAATTTAAATTTAAAACCACCAAACCAAACGAGAAAAATAAATAAATTTTAAATATATTTTACGATCTTATAGTAGATATAAAACGTATCATTTAGTTGTACAATTAGAAATATAATTTTATTATTGTTTGAGTGATTTTAAAGAATGTATATGCGCAAACGGGCAACAAATGTCTACCGTTTTTTCTCATATAAATATTCACTAACGCATAGTTACACTCGACAATTTAATTTAATAAGGTAGAAATACTATAACTGCATAACATTAATAAATTGGATTTAAACTTTGCACTTTATAAATATATCCTATTAAATTAACTAAGCTACTGTTAAGCGATTATCTTTGACCTCGACTAAAAAAAATGGAAGAATCAGGACCGTTCCCATATCAATTAAGTACTCAACATGAAAACATTTTGGGTTGTAAAATTTCTTACAAATAATTATGATTTTTAGGTAGGTATATTTCAATATTTCTAGATAAATCAAAATCTCATCAGGGTAAAATAAATAATACGTACCGTACGCGTCTAAAGTATGGAATAAATTCAGTAAAAACTAAACTATTTTTTTTTTGGAAAAAATCCTCGAACAGGTCGATTTTTAATTTAAAAAATACATATTTTAGTATAAAAGGCGATTTTCAACCGTCATTTGTTTTCGAGTAATGACGTCATCGACATTTTTTTTTAAAAGCAACCCCCTACTTTTTTTCTCGTTTCTCGTTTCATTGTCGATCCGACAGTATTAAAATGTTGCCATCTTACATAGGAAAGTTTTCGAGTAAATGACGATTGAATGTTAGAAAACGTAAATTTTATTCATTAACAAAATAACAATTCCTATGTCAAGCAAATACAATTCATTAAGTTTTCTACCTAAATTAAGTGTTCGAATTGCCACCCACCAACTTCTTGACAATATACAAGTCTGTGTAGAAATTCTTCTTGCACATTATGAATTATTTCTGGGGTAACTCTGTGTATTTCATCTATAATACAATTTTGGAGTTCTTCTAAATTATGTGGTCTATTAACGTACACTTTGGACTTTAAGTAGCCCCATAAGAAATAGGCTAGGGGTGTAAGATCTGGGGATCTCGCGGGCCATTCTATCGGTCCTCGTCTGCCGATCCACCTCCTAGGAAGACAATTGTCCAGAAAATCTCTAACAGGGCGCGAGATAACTTTTGTGCCGAGCGGTTTTAGTTTTTAAAAACAAAATTTCTTTTTATTTAAAAACTTTCACAAAAGTATCGATGAATTAATGTCAAAATGAATACAATAATCTCAAAGGTATGAGCTCTGTATTACCTCTAGACAATAACTGGTTAAACAATGAACTTGACCCATATTTATAAGTTTAGCAGAACAATGAAACTGCAAGGGTTGCAAAGTCAGCATCTTGTCAGGATTGATAACTCGTCCACCCCTGGATGAGAACTTAGGGTTTTTCTTCAAAAAAGGCCAAAGTTCGAAACCTCGATGACTTCAGCATCTTCTTCGGGTTGGATGTTGGATTTGGACCTTATTCTTCTTATAATTCTTCTTATTCTTTTCCATAAAATTGCAATAATAATTAAGATAATTATGAAAAGTAAAATGTATGTGAGCCAATGGATATGTTCATTTACCATAGTACTAAGATTTTGATTTTCAATTTCTTCTTGTAAGTTTTCTGTACGTCTCGATAATTCTGATAATTCTTCTAAGTTAATACGTTTTGTTAAAGTCA